GTGATAAATTTTAGGCCTATGCATCGTAGCTTTCTGTCTTTATTGGTAGCTTGGGGAACTGGATCTGATGCATAGTTCTGGCACTTTTAATCTTCATTTTACTCACTGCCTATCATATCTTAACCACAATCTCCTTAATTGTGTTACTCCAAATGGTGTCCTGACTGCATTAAAAGGTAGTACTTGGAAAATTTCACTTAATCATCCATTTTAACCACATTTTATTCTTTCTGTTGGAGTTGCCCCAGGGCTCAGTGTTTTGTGTTTGTTGTTGTTGTTTTTTTTTTCTTGAGGACAGGGTTGGTTCAGATTCTCAATCAGATATGTCTTCCTTTGGAATCTACTGTGGACAGCAAAGTGTAGACTGGTTCCTGCTATAGTTACCATGCACCAACTATAGGCATGAATGTAGGCTACTGTGGTCTTTTGCTTGCTGTAGATCTGGAGACCACACAGCTCAAGCCTCAAGGAGGCAGAGGGCCGGGAGGTGAACATCTGACTCTCCGATCCAGCTGCTTTGTTCTTGGCTCTGTTTGTACACCCTAATGCCTGACTTCAAGGCCTGGTTTGGGGGTCTTGAGCTTCACTGATTCCCATTATCAACCCTGGCCTGAATGACTATTCAATTCTGCTACACAACTGGAAAACTGTCAGTAGAGTTTGCTGCTACTCTGAGGCCGTTATATGACATATTCTCCAGGGCATTATAACCATCAGGGAACTGATATCTCTTGCCTCCTGTGAGGTTCCTCTTTACATTTCTCTTAGCCTCTGTCTACCATTCCATCACCCCCACCTCCCACATGCTGACTTTGTGCTTTCATAAATAGCTAGCATCCTTGAACAACTTCTATAAAAGCTTAAAGGTAACATCCTTTTCTTCAAAGCACTTCCATATTATTATTTGATCCTCACAAAAAGTCTTTCAGGTATGTAGGTTAGTACATTATCCTGATTTCACCAGTGAAGAGATAGAGACAGTGATTAAGTGATTTGCCCATCCTCAGGCACTTAGTTAATGTGGAACTGGTATTAGAACACAGTTTGTTTTTGTTGGTGATTTCATTAATTCTTTTCTTAATTTTTTTGTTCATTCATTTATATACTCATAGTGAGAGGCAGCAAAATGGAAAGATCAAGGGTTTTGGAGACAGACAAACTTTGGTTTGAAACTTGATGACATCTCTTATTAGCTGGGTGACCTTGGTCATATACTTACCCTCTCAGAAGTTGTTTTCTTCTTTGTAATAAAAGGAAATATTATGACTTATAATGTTTATATGTGATTTAGCACTGCATGAAAATTACCTAGCAATCATAGCATCTGGCATATGGTAGGCTATAGGTAAAATGTTACTGTAAGTATATAATATGTAAAATAGGTTATTATAGTTTAAAAATGGTCAAATATTGACAATTTTATAATGGTAGAAACTCAGTGGCTACCATTTATTTAGTCCTTCCCTTTTGTATATGAGGCCCAGCTATACCCCCAAAATGCAAATAGAAATGAGACAAGGTCTTTGTGTTTCTGTATCTTCTACTACACCAGTGATGGTGAACCTTTTGAGCTCGGCATGTCAGCATTTTGAAAAACCCTAACTTATCTCTGGTGCCATGTCACATATAGAAATTTTTTGATATTTGCAACCATAGTAAAACAAAGACTTATATTTTTGATATTTATTTTATATATTTAAATGCCATCTAACAAAGAAAAATCAACCAAAAAATGAGTTCGCGTGTCACCTCTGACACACGTGTCATAGGTTCGCCATCACTGTACTAGACTGTGGTTGTGGAGGGTAGAGCCTGTGTTAGTAGCATCCCCAACACTAACAACAATTTCTGCTAGGTAGTGGGTGCTCAATAAATGCTTTCTGAAGTGAAAAGTTCCCTGCCTACCAGGAGATTACCAACTAGTTAATTACATAGTCATATAATTATAGTAAACTTTTACAGGTATTTAGATAGACACATACAGGCTATGGTGATAGTGAAAATGAAACAATGCTCAATTCTACTGGGGGAGTGAGAAGCACAGTGGAGAGAAGGGGGCAAAGCATCATAGAGCAGGTGCCGTGATTAACCGTGGTCTGTCTGTGGAAAGAAGCAAAACCAATTTGCTTATCTTGAACTACATACTTTCTCTCAAAGAAGCCCCTTCTAACGTGTGCAATTGAGTTTGTATTCAAAGAAGCTTCTTTGTTTGTCTCACAGTCCCTCTCTTACTGGTATCTCCCATAATGTATTGCTTTGTAAAGTGCTTTGCTCTATTCTGAGTATAAAAGAGATGCTCAGGAAAACCTGATTCTATTCTCTGAGTGTCACAACTAGCCATTGCATAACAAAGTGCAATACATTGTGTGAGAAGAAATAGAGGAACACAAGAGATGTTTTAAAGAGAATAAAATAAAACATCAAAACGGGAGTGTGTAGAGTGCATTAAAGTTAATGAACTGTCATGGCAGAGTGGACCACTTTTCAATGTGAAGGAAGCTGATTTAGCAACTGGTATCTAAATGATTAGAATCCATTGGAATGAAGTTAACTGCTAGTCTTGCCAAATTCTAAATCTTTTAGTGCTCCTTGAGAACCAGTCCTTGAAATTGAACAGATTATTATTATTATTATTTTGTCAATAGCTCTTTGAGATGCTAAACCCATTGGTCTTACTTTGAATATTCAGTGCTGCTCAACACTGTATAGCACTGCTCTGCTATATAGAGTTGAGGAGGAGGAATTCAGGCCCTGGTTCTAATGCTTGATTGGGACCAGTTAATCAGCATAGGCTTCCAGGGCTCCTGTGGTCATTCCCTGTTTCCACAGAGACACATAAACCAGAAAACCGTCAGGAGTCAACTTTGCTCAGGTGTGAACCATTGAGCTACTCATCTTATTTGCAAGAGATAGACAAGGCGATCGATACAGGTCTCCGTCTTGGCAGTGTGGAAGGATGCCTACAACGACAAGAGTTCCAAGGTGCTTTCTGCCAAGAACTGGATTGGATTTTGTGCTTCTTCAGCCACAAAATGTCCCCAGCATCTTACTCCCAAATCATTAATGCCCTTTGCAGTCAGTCTGCTCAGCCTGAACATCCTTATCTCTCTTTACTCAGCACCATCATTATTGTTTTCTTTTGCTAGCTAAACTCTCAAAGTTTATAGATCCCTAATATATTAATGTTTTTTTTTCCAAACAAGTAGGAGATATTAGGTGGCATTTTTATCCTTGATTACACTCCCTCTCTCTCTTTGGAGAAGAATGAGAATTGCTGATTCTGGTTTTGGGTGCAGTTTGTAGAATATTTCCTTGGTGTATAAAAATGCTAAGTTTATGTATTGGCATGCTGGCATTTATTGACCTTGGGAACATTACATAACTGTTTTAAGCTTCAGTTTCTTCATTTGATAAATGGGGATAAAATGACTAGTTTATAGGATTTCAGTGAGGACCAAAGAGACTCCATATGAGGAAATGCCTAACACAGTACACAGCACATAATAGAGGTACAATAAATTATTATTTAAAACAAAGCAAAACAACTGAAGCAGGACCAGTTCTACTGAAATAAAAGGAGCTGTTGGAAAACAGTGAGAAATATAAAGAGAAATCGCAAAGCTGTATATAGAACTGTGTCCGCAGTCTTGTGCACAGTGTAAGATTTAGGAGCAAATAGGGAAGTAAAAAGTAGGAGTTTGTTGTAGGTAAAAGGTGGTGAATTGTATGGAAACATGAGAAGTCATTTCAGGGAAGTCACTACTATGGGACGGCATGAAAAAATTTTCAAAAGTGCCTCTAACATGCCCTGGGCCTGGTACTTCAGTTGGTTGGAGTATTGTCCCATACACCAAAAGGTTGGGTGTTCAATTTCTGGTCAGGGCACATACTTAGGTTATGGGTTCAATGTGATGTGTATGGGAGGCAACTGATCATTACTTCTCTCTCTCTCTCTCTCTCTCTCTCTCTCTCTCCCTCCCTTTCCCTCTCCCTCTCCCTCTCCCTCTCTCCCCCCTTCCTCTCTCTCTAAAAAATACCTTGGGTGAAGAAAAGAATAGTGGCTCTAACACTATAGCAGTTATCAGTAGTATTTGTTGAAATCATCATACTTTGATGCATGAACAAATCAAAATAAAATGACTCCTTGTGGTAATGGGTGATTTGAGAAGGAGTGTGATGTACTACAATGGAATACAAATTGGCCTAAAAATCAGAAGATCTGGATTCGTATTTGTTTCACAGAAGTGGTTCATGGTTTTGGATTTCTGAGCTTTTTTGAGCCTTAGCTTCAGCATCTATAAAATGGGGATAACAGCACCTTTATTATTTTCCTCCCACTGGTTTATTGTAAGGATCAACTGAGATTTTTTTTAACATACTGCCTACATATTGGCTGTTTTTTTGATTTAGTATTAAGAGCCAGATACTAAAAGTTTTGCTGAAGAATTCAGGCTCTTGTCCTCTTTGAGGTGAACATGAAGTAAAGGCAGCAAGAATATGGGGTTTATGCAGCTCTCTATATCTAGCTTATCCAGACCATGTTTTGCTGCTAGCCTCTGCTAAGCCCATTTTACTGCTCCCTTTGCCTGGCCTACACCATCCCCTCAGCCCAAGAGCAGTTCAAGGGTGAATTGTGATAGGAGTGCCAAGGATCATGCCGCAACAGCAAGACCCCCCTCTTGGAGACTCCTGCGTTTGTGCACTTGGCATTACTGCCTGGACCACTTGCATCCTCGTTGCCTCATTTGTCTGTGTCTGTTTGCTGCTAATGGCTCTAGCAATAGCATCTTTTATTTTCTTGCTCAAGGATGTCAGATGCTTCTGAAAGCTTTTTTTCTCTCACGCTGCTGAGAAAACATGAGACTTTAAGAGACTAGGCTAAAAGACAGAAGTAGGGCTTGATGACCAGCAAAGGCCCTCGACTTGCAGTATCCAGTCTCTTCAAAGACAGGTCCTGTGGTGTGGGTTGTGATTTAACCACGCTGTCTTTGCATTTTCAGGGAGTCGACGAGTTGAAGATGAAGCCCAGAGCAGAGTGCTGTTCACCCAAGTTTTGGTTGGTGTTGGCTGTCCTGGCCGTGTCAGGCAGCAGAGCTCGTTCTCAGAAGAGCCCCCCCAGCATTGGCATCGCTGTCATCCTCGTGGGCACTTCAGACGAGGTGGCCATCAAGGATGCCCACGAGAAAGATGACTTCCATCATCTCTCTGTGGTGCCCCGTGTGGAGCTAGTAGCCATGAATGAGACCGATCCAAAGAGCATCATCACCCGTATCTGTGACCTCATGTCGGACCGAAAGATCCAGGGGGTGGTGTTTGCTGACGACACTGACCAGGAAGCCATCGCCCAGATCCTTGACTTCATTTCAGCCCAGACTCTCACCCCCATCCTGGGCATCCACGGGGGATCCTCTATGATCATGGCAGACAAGGTAAAAGCGGGCTGCAGTGAGAAGAGTCTGGTTGGTTTGAATGAAGAACTAAATGATCCATTTGTTTTGATGCAAAACTGAATTATGAAAGATGGAAGGTTGTTAACCAGAATGCACTGAGTGGATAGACCAGGGATTAGTCTAATTGCTTGGAGGTGAAAGGGAGGGAAAGATGATGTCATCTAGTTATGCATAGAGTTTTGCATAGCTTTGTGTGTCCATTTCTTTGTAAACGGATTCTCTGAAATGACTAAGAGATAGAGAAACTTGTAGCTCTGTGATCCATTTTCTTCAAATACGTATATGAATAGCTCCTTCAAAATTTTATTTTTTTAATCTTCACCTGAAGATATTTTTTCCATTGATTTTTAGAGAAAATAGAAGAGTGAGGGAAAGACAGAGGGAAGTATTAATGTGAGAGAAATGCATCAATTGGTTGCCTCCTGCATGCGCCCCTACCAGGGCTTGGACCGGGGAGGAGCCTGCAACCGAGGTACGTTACCTTGACCAGAATTGAACCCAGGACCCTTGGGTCTGCAGGCCAACACTCTAGCTACTGAGCCAAACTGGCTAGAGTGCTCCTTCAAAATTTTAAAATAAGGTGTGCTCTATTCTTCCTTCATAATGCATATTGTTTACCCATATCAGTTTCAAGAATATAAAACAAAAACTCCTTGGAGGTGGGTAATTTTTCTCCTTGAGGATAAAAATATCACAGAGAAGTACTTCTTGCTAAGGTGTCCATGCTCATCACACATCAGTCTATGTATTTGAGTGGATTTTAACCCATAGAACCGGTAGCAGCTTCATTTCCTCATGCTTACATTTGAAGGCAATAGGTCTGTAACCTTGTTTGCACGTTGGAATCACCTAAACAGCCTTAAACACCACCAATGCCTGGTTCCGCCCCCTCAATTCTGATTATTGGCCTTGGGTACTGCCTGAGGTTTAGGATTTTTAAAAGCACCCCTGTTGATTAAGGCTGAGGACCACTGCTTTTAGGCCTCAAATATATCTAGTTGCTCCTACATTAATATTGGGTTGTCATATGATATTGTTTTCTGACATTGACGCTTATTCTCTAACCACAAGTTTTGTTGTGGTTATGTTTTGTTTTCAAATTTTAAACTTATTCAGTTATTTTTTCCTTCCTTGATTGCTTATTGCTGAGGTACAGCACTTCTCGCTATATATTGTCCTTCACAGTTATTTCTACCTCAGGTGGATTCATTTCACAAGTACAATATATATATTTTTTATCACTTTGGGTTTTTAAAATTGTTTCTACCTTTTCGTTGTCATTTATACTTTTTAAAATCACTTTCAAAACCGCCATTAGTTTTTTACTTAAAAGACATGCTGTAGGGTTAATGATATTTGCGAACACCTCGAAACCTAGCACAGACACCTAACACAAGTGTGCTCCTTGGCCAGTTGAGACCCATTACAGTGCAGGGCTTACCAGAGTAAAATAACCTTGCATGATCACTATTGCCATCTGTTGGCAGCAGGCATAGATGATGAGCATCTGTTTGGAGCTTCCTTTATTCAATCCAGGAAAGGTCAAGTGGAAAGCACTAAGTGGAGGAACTTCGGTAGTATCTGAGAAAGATATTGAAAGGGAAAGATGTTAGAATCAAATGCTGGCAAGAGATGCCCTTGGTAAGAGAATGGAGATAAACTTAAGCAGAATGGAAAATATAGACTGACTATGGCAAAACCTACTGAGTTTTTGCTTCAGGTAGAGTGTTTTGTTAACATTTTCCTCAGCAAGTTATATGTTTGCAGCAGTATTTCATCTTCTTATTTTTTTGAAATTAAATTTTATTGTTGAAAGTATTACATATGTAATATATTATTAGCAGTAGCATTTTGAGGGCACAGTATGGCACTGAATAATGCCAAGGTGAATGAGCCAAATTTTTGAAACATAAATAAGTGCCCATTTATTTTGAGAGCAAGAAGGTAAAAATGATTTGTTTTTCTTACATGGGCTATTGTGCAACCTATGTTATTTTAGGTCCACCTCACCTCACCCCCAGCCCTAGCAAAAGTGGTTATTGGTTAAATCGATTGGTTGCTTCTCTGTTGTGTCTCTTACAAATGCTTAATAATAACATGATAATATGAACTAAGATGCAGATCATGGGGACAGACTGGGCTCTTTTGTCCACTGATGTATTCTAGGTGCTTTAGAATATCTACCATATGCTGGGCACATAGTGCTTTGCATGCATTATTTTATTTAATATTCTTATAACCCAGTAAGCTAAATGGTATTATTTATCTCCATTTGACACGTGGGGAAACTGAGGCTCAGAGAGGTTACCTAACATATCCAAAATGACATAGCTAGTAACTGGCGTCCAGGACTGTAAATCGGTTGCCGGCTCCATGTGCTCCATCTCCTCTCAAGAAAATGGAGAGGCTGGTTAGCATCTCACATAACGTCCTACTCTTTACTTTCTCCTCTGTGGCGGATGTTATCTGCCTACATGCAGTTCACCCCTTGATTCATGTGGCAATAGTGGAATCTGACTAGAGGAGAGAATGAGTGAGCATGTGACTAGCACTTAGGGGTAGCACACTTCCATTGAGGGCCCATTGGTGACTCCTTCTAGGGGGAAAGGGAGGAGTGAGGCGGATCCAGAGGTGGATTCTTTCAGGTCACTGTAGTGAGAACCCCCTTTGATCTCTTCCCCCTGAGCCCTCCCACCATTGCAACCAACCCAGATAGCCCGCCTTATCTTTTTTCTCCATCATAAAAGGGAGATAGGCAATGATTTTTAGGCAGTTTCCTAAAAGAGCCTAAATAATGTCTGATTTTTGACCTAAAAAGAAGAGTTTCTGAAAAATAGGTAGGAAGAGGAAAAAGAAGAAGGGAGAAGGTCCCAATAGCATGGAAGCCAGAAAGCTGAAGGCTCAGTCACAAGGGGTCACATGCCTGACGGGGTGGCTGCAGAGAAGGGCGCAGCAGGAACCCCCGGCCCGAGAAGGCAGCGGGGCCACGATTCCAGGGAGCTGTGCTGAGGAATGTTCGCATGCTCAAGCGATTTGCATGAAGGTAATAAAAAGAACCTCCCAGATTTCAGAGAAATAAGGTTTTGGGTCAAGTTTCAAAAATGAAACACCTCAAATTCTAAGGTCAGTTTTTTAAAATAGAAGTTTATTTTTAAGTACTGTGACCACATTCCACAAACATAGAATGAGGACACAGAGTTCCACGACTATGAATCAACTATGAGGCAACAGGATAAAACATTTGAAAGTGGAACTGATGCAGAAATTCTGAGAAACACAGTTCACTTTAAGGTATAGCTGCCATCCAAAAGATGAGAAGTCAGCCTTCCATTTTGCTTCCCCCTTCTAGAAGATAGGTAATTGCCTCTCCATTTTTTTGTTGTTAATCCTCATCAGCGGATATTTTCCCATTGCTTTTCAGAGAGAGTGGGAAAGAGGGAGGGGGGAAAGAGACAGAAGAGAGAGAGAGAGAAACATCAATGTGAGAGAGACATCGATTGGTTTCCTCACACATGCACCCTGATGGGGCTGGACTCTAACCTGCAACCAAGGTGCATGCCCTTGAATGGCAGTTGAACCTGGGACCCTTCAGTGTGTGGGTCAGCACTCTAACTGCTGAGCAACACTGGCCAAGGCTTACCTCTCCATTTTAACTTAGCTTTTGTTTGTTTGTTTGTTTGTCTGAGGTAGAATGCACTTATTAAGTGTCCTTGTGGAAGATTGCATTACAGGGATGAAGTCCCTGATTCAAGGGATTGGTGATGGAAGAAAGACAGCATGATTATAAAGCTTTTTGACAAAAATAGTGAGACACAGGTTCAGCATCTGGTCAAATAGCATGTGCCCACTTTTTCGTATATGTTGATGAATCAGTACAAACATTAATTAATGCTCTGCTTTCCCGAAGAGGAAGCACACCTTCTGCCATGGCCAAAAGAAGCATGGGAACCAGAGAGTAGAGCTGTTTGAAGCTCAGAATTTGGAGTCAGTGGGTTTCAACCATCACTTCCTAGATGTGGAGATCTGGACTATTCACCAACCACTGTAAACGGTTTCCTTGCCTGTATAATGGGGATAATAACATATTCATCATAGGGTTTGTGAAGATTAAATGAGATAATACATAGTAAATGCATAGTAAATGCTTCACTAAGTATCCAGCATAACATTCAGTAGTCTAAGCTGAAGGTTGTATGGAGCAGTTTGAAGAAAGGGAGAAGGTTTCATGATACAGGAAAATAATGGGAATTGAACAGCATCACAGCCAACTGTAGAGACATTTCTGAACTGGAGACCAACAACTTGTCTCCTACAATGGCTGTGAAGTATGGGTGGGAGCCGTGGGCCTGCCCCGCCAGGGCAGCTGAGGCTCATCGGTGATACAGCCACACTGTTACCACAAGGGCATGTTCGGTTAGAGACAAGCTCTAATAAAGAACGAACTGCTGCCGCTTGTAACAAAAAGACTTTTTCAATAGTAACAGACGGTTTATAAATGAATGAGGTGATTTTTGACAGTTCCTCACCTGAATATAGGGAGTCTGTTTTATTTTTTCTTGTTATAATTGTTTCTATTCTCCCTGAGATTCTGGACTTAGGATGCCTATCTGAATCCAAATAACAAACTAAAGCTGGACGTATTTCCATTTCTTTCCAGGAGGTTCTTTGCTGACTTGATGAAGTTTTTCTTGGGTTTTCAGATTTTAGCTCAGAGAGGTTAAGTAACTAATCTGGGATATCACAGCTTATGAGCAATGGGACTGGGAATCGAATCCCAGAAGTACCCATTTTGAAGCCTGTGCTTTCTATTTATATAATTCTGCCTCAAATACATTATAATAAGTATTATAAGTCCTGAGTTTTAGATTCCAGTTTCATGAGCTTTGGAAATTTAGGTAAACAAAGCACTTAAGCTACATGATACTCAGTTTACAGTTTATAAGATTTACATTTTGTTTTCTGCTCTACCCACTTCACAA